TCATCTAGCATTAAATCATGAATAAGTGAAGGTGTTCATCTTAAAGGAAACTGTTCTAATAAAAGTTTAGAAGCCTGCGCTGATGTATAACAAAGAATAAGGGAGTATTTTAAAATATTTGATAAAAACTTTGACCAATCAACTGGTTTTTTGAATTTTATTTCATTGAGTTGATAAACCCTTTGACAAACTATTTTCTTCTACATCATTTTTTATATAGGCTGGAAAATTTTCCAATACACTTTTATTTTTCCAACACAACCTATATTTTGGAACAATGGAAACAATGGAACATTAGATGATTTAGAAAACAATGAAACATGCATAAATTCATCAACTACAATTGTTTCTGTAACTTCTAAAACACCTGAGTGTTGATTAATTTCTAAGTTAAAATATATGTATTTGCCATCATATATTTTGAGCTGATACCCTACAAGGTTCAAATTATTTAAATCATTTAAACAGTGAATTTCATCTTTTTCTATAAATATATTGGATTTATTCTGATTATTTAATGGCTTTCTCCCTTTTGATGTAGTTGTATATACTGATGACGATATTTTTTCAATTAAGCAATAAATAGTTGGAGCGGGATTTAAACCCCCAAACTACTCTTTTGCCTAATTTTAAATATTTTACTTCAAAATGTTTAGCATAAATAGCTGAATTTTTACTGGGCTTTCATAACTATCAATTTATAAATTCTACCCATTGTTTAAATCAGTCAGGATTATAAAATCAATTTGATTCTCTCTCTTTTTATATCCAATTTTTAATCCAGTAAACTGCAGCACATGTATTAATCATATTATGAATATTTAAATAAACAATTTTTAAAAAAGTTTAAGAAAGTTTAAAAATAAAAAATAAAATGAGCAACAGCATCGAATCCCAAGCACAATAAGAAAACAAATAGCACTAAATCAAGGAAAGTTTCAACTCAGATATTTCACTAATGGTTCACTGGAATGGGAAAATTTTACTAGAGTTGACAGAAATTGATTAAGTCAATAAATTGCCTGTAATTAATTCAGGGGCAGGTACTAACAAATTTCTTTGCATCCCAAAACTTCCACCAGGAAAAAATAAAGAGATGGCAAAGAATGTGCTGGATTGTTTGGAAGAATGATGCATTAAAGATCATGTACAAGCAAAGTTGTTTGATACCATCAGCAGCAACATTTATATATTTGAGTGCCTATACTCTAAATGAGTTGAAACTTGGCCATAATCTTTTAAATTTTGCTTGCCATCATCATATTATAGAAATTGTTGCAGAAAAAGTTTTTACTGCTCTTCTTTTCGTGCAACCTGGAGCACTCCACTGTGCAAGATGGATGGCTTATATAATATATGTAATCAAGATAAGTTTATTTTGAAATCAATTTTGAATGTCCAAATGAAAATAGAATGGTATCAAGTGGTATTCGGTATTTGCAGTCATTATTTACATGCATTTTTGATTCGCAGCTTCTTTAGCTGTTGCATCACTAGTCAATTATCTTCATCATGTAGTAAAATTCTCCATCACATAAGTTACAAAGACTGGGCAATCTCTAAAGCAGTGGAAACAGCATTTTCCAGGCACTTGTGGTACACCAGTAAATTGATGGAATTACTTGCATTCTTTGATCCAGATATTTGTTTAACTGAAAAGTGAAATATGATTAAGGCCCTAGATGTTGCAGGATCAGAAACTCCCCCAAAACGAATAACATTAGATTTCACAAAAGTTAGAAAAAAGTCCTTGGCTAGCTTTGTCACTTCATCTTCTTGTCGCTTTTTTGAAAGTCTTGGCATTGCAACAGATTTTTGACAGAAGATCTAAAAGAGTGGAGCCTTTGAGAAGCATTATAAGAATGCTCAATATTTCATTGAGTCATTGAAAGTGGTGAATGATTGTGCAGAGCAAGTAGCTGTACTGATACAAAGTTTTAATAGCATCCTCACTAAGAATAAAGACAAAAAGCAATTTGTGCTACATGTAGTAGAAGAACATCAGCAAAAACGCTCCTTATATTTATCAAATAGTCCAATCTAATTAAAAACATTTGCATTTAAATTGGCACTCTTTTTTTGTTGTTGCAATAACTGAGCCCTTTAAAAAGCATTACAGCAGCAGCATCGAGTCCTGGCCGACCTGACCTCTAAATATATATACATATATATATATATATATATATATATATATATGTATATATATATATATATATATATATATATATATATATATATATATATATATATATATATATATATATATATATATATATATATATATATATATATATATATATATATATATATATATATATATATATATATATATATACATATATATATATATATATATATATATATATATATATATATATATATATATATATATATGTATATGTATATATATATATATATATATATATATATATATATATACATATATATATATATATATATATATATATATATATATATATATATATATATATATATATATATATATATATATATATATATATATATATATATATATATATATATCAAAATATATATATCAAAAATACAAACTAGAGAAAACCAAGAAACTATGAAGGTTTCTCTACGAGCTGACCAACGTTTACAATATCACAAAGAAATCATAAAAAAGCTTAATGGTAGGAAGCTACTAGCAGGATGACCAACAGTTTTTTACTTACAAATGTGTTTTTATTAATAAAACTATATTCTGATCTACAAAGATTTTATTCCTTGCGATAATTAAAAAAAAACTTTAAAAAGCATTTTAAGCAGTATACACTTCGTTTAACAATCAGTACATTATAGTGCGTTATATAACTTTACCAAACTTAATAAAAAGAACCAGACATGTGATTTAATATTTTAAAGTGGGACTGTACTGTTTTTTTAACCATTGTTGTTGCATTTTGTAGCATACTTCTTCTAAATTTAAAATGAGTTTTAAAATTACATTTTTCTTTACTTCCTAATGCTATTGTATCGTTTTTTTAAACCTTATATTAGTTGAATGTTTAAAACATGTTTTTAATGTTTTAAACATTATGCGACATATTGAATTACGTGAATGGGCAGTTATTAATAACACTGAATCATTAATAACACAGAATCTCTTTTGTTTTTCATTAGTAAAATAATTTTTTTTTAACTTTGTTGAAGAAAATTAACAAAATAAAAAACACTAAGATGCACATGAAAAATCATTATTAGAACGCAATTAATGATGCAATCGGAATTTTTTTTTTTCTAAAATAAAAAAGTTTTAGTATAATCAAAAATGTTTAAAACATTAAAAACATGTTTTAAACATTCAACTAAATTGATTGAGAGAGAATAATAGAATATTTTTCTCTATATAAAACATTTCTTTGCAGTTTTGGCTTTCAACATTATTGCTTCATGTAATGAAACCTTAGTTAAGATTGACAAAAACAAAATATATGATATCGACTACAACAAAATCAGATATTGACTTAACAAAAGCATTTAATTTAACTAATAATTTACTTTTAAATAAACCGTTTCTTATTAGAGGTATTTTATTGGTCAAACATTAATTTTTTTTTTCTTCCTTTTTTCACCTGAGAAAAGCTACAATACACTTTTACACCAGACTAATATAGCAGACAACTCAAATGAGAAATATAAACTGTTTCCGTTGCCCTGCGGGCTAATGGGAAAAAACCAGAGGGTACACAGCTGTGTGTGTATATATATATATCCTTATATCGTAGTCAAAAGAGTCTTTTATGGTAAAAAAAAAGTCTCTTTCGACTACAATTTTAATACCTCGACTCTTAAGCTGTATTATATTGCCGTCGAAATGTCAAAGCAAATAAATAAATGCGGAAGTAAATCAAATTTTATTGTTTTTTAAAAAATGACTAGAAACTTTTTTTTAATTAATGGTGTTTTTGTTGTTGTTTTATTAAAATATATTTTTAAAACATGCGCAGTACATTGCTACATCGCCCATCTTATAGCCTGCTGCTACAAGGGAGTGTTGCTACATCGACTATCTTATAGCCTGACTCGCAACGGAATGTTGCTACATCGACTATCTTAGAGCCTGACACGCAACAGAGTGCTGCTACATAGACTGGCAAATAGCCTGACTCACAAAGGAATGTTACTACATCAAATGACAAATAGCTTGACTCGCAAGAGAGTGCTGCTATATATACCATGAACTAAAACCAATTCATTGGTTATGGCTTGTGTTGAAACTCCAAGTAGAGCATGAGTTTTAATATATGCTCGATATTTAAGTTTTTCCATTTTTAAATTTTTTCTTTCAAGCGTATATAACAAAATTTAAATAACTTTAAATTTAAATAACATTGAAAATATTTCAACAAGTACTTAGAATGTTCATAATTAAACACAGTTTAAGATGATGTATAAACATTTAATTATTTCCTGACTTATTGTAACTTTATAGATGAAGTTCAACAAACTTCTCTAACAACCTAAGTGTATATATATATATATATATATATATATATATATATATATATATATATATATATATATATATATATATATATATATACATATATATATATATATATATATATATATATATATATATATATATATATATATATATATATATATATATATATATATATACACATGTATATATATATATATATATATATATTTATATATATATATATATATACATGTATATATATATATATATATATATATATATATGTATATATATGTATATATATATATATATATATATATATATATATATATATATAATATATATATATATATATATATATATATATATATATTCATATATACTTAAGATAAAGTTAACTTATATTAAATATATTTTATTTTATATTCAATATTGAAAATTCTTTAATTTAATTAAAGAAAATTATGATTCAAATTTAATTATTCAAACTTATTTTAATTAACATTTGTGGATAATCAAAAACTTAGAATTCAAAAAAAATTATCACCTTAGATCCACCTACAAAAGAAGATGTGTGTTTTTTAATTGCAAACTCATCAAATACAAATGGATATTGTTGAGAGGAGGTTGTGGTATCTCGTTTGAATAAAGGTTGCGATTGGATATTTTGAAGTTCATTGCTATAATAAAACTAATTATTACAAATTTATTTATTAATGTTATACTAATAATAAACTTTTATTGAATTTTTTTTTTTTTTTTTAAATAAAAATTTTTAATGCATAAAATTTACTTTCAAACTTTTTTATATATATACTAATGTTTTGATTAAATTATTCTTCATTATAAATAATAACACAAATTCTATATAATTAGCATAATTTTCATTAAAAGTTAATTTTTCGTGTAATACAAAAATCAAACTCCACCATGTTCCTAATAGTGCAGCTGTTGCTCCTTGTGAAAGCTGTTTTTTTGTCTGTGATTCATTTTTCAAGTTGTATAACAATTAGGAAAAAAAAAAAAAAAGAACTTTATTTTAAAGAGTGCAAAAAAAAGTCTTTTTTAAAAAAAAATATGTTTTTCATGTGCTTACATTAAGCCCCACTTTAATCCATTAATTATTGCTTTGTTTTTTACCATTTTAAAAATAGATAACAGATAATTCTCCAACAATATGCATTTATTGTTCAAGAGAAACTTAGAAATAAAGAGTAAAATATATTAAAACAAACATCATCATCATCATCATCATCATCCATTTTTCAATTTAGTTAGACATTTAACAACATTTTTACTATGTAAATAAAGATGATAACAACATCATTATAATGGGACCTGTGAATATAGAACCATGTTTACTACAATTTACATTATTTATAGACTGCGCCAATTTTATCTATAATCTTTATCTGAAATCTATTGTGATAATCTTTTGTGAAAACCGCATCAATTTATTATTGCTGCATATGCATAGCAAAATTACTATTAAATGTATGCAATTGCTTCTAATATGGTGAAACATGACCATGCTTAAAACAGAAGAAAATAATAAAATAGCTAGTAAACAAGAGGTGCAGGTTTAGAGTTAGCAAAAAAAAAAAGAGTAAAAAGTTATTTACCTGCAAAAAAGCTTTGCTTGAACTTTAAAATATTCAAAACATTTTAATGTTCTACAAACAATAAATTAGTGAGATCAGCTTTTTTTTAACCAATTGTGTGTCAAAAAAGTGTAACAAAATACTAGTTAACATTTTAAAATAATATTTGTGGCTTATTGTTTTTATCCTCTAAATGTTGTCTCTAGTAAAATTGACCAGACCTACTTGGTACTTGTGAGACTAACTTCAGCTGTTTCATCTTTAGATCTTAGTGTGGATAGCACATTAAGATCCTAAGATGAAACAGCTAAATTTAAAAACTCCAATAGCCACATACCTGGTCTGAACATATATGTACTTATCACCTATTAGAGAATTGATTAGTCTAAGTGCTCCAGTATTCTTATTTTGTCAGAAGTTACTAGAGTAACCACTTGGACAAGCTGGATATTTCTTGGTTGCATACCTTGGTCACTTCTCATATATTAATAATTTTACTATCTTACCTATAAAGCAGCTTTTGTTATGACGTATTACCTATTTGTTGATGATGCAGTCATATAAAAGATAAAAAAAGATAAAAAACAAAAAATTAATAAAAGTCTCAATAAAAAATTGTCACATATATATCCCTTAGAACAGAGAGCGAATCTTAATGGTGACAGCCTAGAACCTGCAGATAAATAAAAACAATGGTTGCTGCTAATAAATAATGCAATAATTTTGATATTACTCAATGTTGTTGCTTAGTAACACTCTTAATGAGTTCTCTGCCTTATATCTCATTGAATTATCTTTTTCTACTTTTTCTAAAGCTTTTTTCATAAAAATGCAATTTTTCTAATCTAATTTAAAACTAGAATCTGCTAATGTTGTTTCTTTTTATTGGGGTAGCCATTTTCATGCTTCTGATTCTACTATCCATCTTTTCTTTTTGTCACATCTTCTAACAACAGGCTTTCTTATTTAAACATTGTATGAAAATCCATTGTAAATATAGTCAGACATAGCAACCATGCTTTAGCCTCTGCCACAGTGTCATAAAGATTTTAAATCTTTTTATTACAATTTACAGGTAATCATTTACATGCTGTTTAACTATTTTCTTTGTTTGCTAGAATTATAAAAAACTTGCAACAAGGTCTCCTACTAATAAAAGCTGTATATGCATATGGAAAAATCATTAGCTTTTCATCAAATTTTTTCCAAAAACTTTGCTGCTATGTAATATGAAAAAGTGCTTTTGTATTTCACGGATGTACCCACTGATAGCTATGTAACACCTTTAGAATGTACATTTTTACATCATCATGTTAAAAATAAGAATTTTTATACCATTTTAACAATGAGAATTTTTATATCTAGCTAAATGTTTATTTGTTCTTTATAAAATTATCTTTCATTAAAAAATAGAAAAGGCAAAATCTAACTAATTTGGTTTTTGACAGTTTTAGTATGGAGTCAATCCCAGCGCACAATGGAAACTTAAAGAAAACTTATAAACAAAAATCTAATTAAGATTATGGATACCAATTTTGGTTGTATATTTCCTTGTATAACTCTGGATCTTTTCGTAGCAATTTTCTTTCTTCTTTATGCATTTTTTTCACAAAGTCTTTTTCAAGTTCACTCTAAATTCATTCAATAAAGTTAGTTATAAAAAAAAATAAAAAAAATAAAAAAACACCGCAACCTATTATTTAGAAATATACAAAAGATAAAAATAAAATTAAAAAAATCACATGCATGTATATAAATAAAATATGCATATATATAAATAAAAATAAATATCTGTATATATAAATAAATAAAAATCTTATGCTAATTGTCATACCTTAAACCCTCAGTTTGTCTCTTGGGTACAATAATTAAACACTAATTACAAACCCTTGAGAGGTTTGTTTGAGACTCAAATGTATGGTTGTATTATTAGTAAATAGCTCTATTTGTTTTAAATTTACTTTAGAGGTAAGATTTATTTTAGAGAAAGAAGTTTGTTAATAAATATATAAAAACAATATGGGACTGAGGATAAAAGCTTGAGAATACCCCCCAAAAGGTTCTGAAAATGAAAAAGAGTGTTGTCTATCAAGGTTGATAATTTTACTGCAATTAGAAAATAATAATTTAGTAATTTAGTAAAGAAGATTTTGGTTTCAAGGTCTTTCTTTGAAGAACAGCACAAAATGGAAAGAGCAAATGGAGGTGAGCAAAACCCTTCAGAACCAACTTTTATATTGGTGTAATTTCTGTTTGTAAATGTATTCTAGAGACCCCCAACACTCTTAAACTGATATAATTTTTTCCCAATTTTTGAGCTCAGTATATATTTTTGAGCTCATTTTACCACAAAAATGGCAATATTTTACCTTTCAAATATTGGTGAAAATTTAAAATATCATATAAAAATGAAATATGAGGTCAGCAAGACAATTTTAAAATATTTTAATTTCTTAATGGTTTATATTAGTCTATTGACACCATGTATTGAAATAAGAAATATGAAAAATTATTCTTAATGCTTGCTTAAGTGTTTTTCAATAAAACCCCTTAAAAAAATATTTTTGTTAAACACTTACCTTTACACTAGTGATGTACCGATTAATTGGCATTGGCTTAATTAGCCACTTTTTGCACAATCAGAATCGGTATCGACACTATTTATTTTAATATTTTTATCCTGCATTATCATAATAATTAAATTATAAATAAACTAAACCTTATGTATTACTTAGAATTTTTTTGATAAATTTTTATTTTGTTTTCAGGCAAAAGCTTCAAAAGTAACCTATTTGAACATTGTTTTCTATATATTTGTTTTATTCTTATTTACTCCCAACAAGACTGCATGCAATTAAGTTGGGAGTTGCTAAAAAAAAAAGAAAAGAGTTTTAGAGCAAGGAAACGGTTGACAGAATACTTAAAAAGTTAAAGCTTGTATGAGTCAGGAAAAGATAAAGATGGGACAGAGTTCTAAAGGGTTGAAGTGCGGGGAAAAAAGCTGATGAATAAAAGTTTTTGGAGCATGCAAGGACAGATACAGTAAAAGAATGAGACTTCGATGAATGACAAGTCAAACGAGAATAAGTTTTAGTTGATAGAACTAGAGAAAGCTCCATTGAGCAGCGACCATGAGCATAGAAAGCGACATTGAGCAGCTATGCTCCATTGAGCATAGAAAGCTCCATTGAGCATAGAAAGCTCCATTGAGCAGCGACCATGATAGTATTTCAAGAAAAGAGAGAGATGCAACTTTAAGATGTTAAGAAAGAGGCTCAAGCTTAGCAGATAGACCGGGTCCTACTCTGTTTATAATGCATTTTTGGACCTTGTCTAGAAGAAAAAGAGCATCTTTAGAAGAACCAGGCTAAATATGACAACAATAATCCATACAGGGATGAATAAGAGATTTGTAGAGGTAAAGAATGGAATCGGGAAAAAAAAATAGTGAGCACGATAAAGAGAAGCAACCTTAGCAGATACTATTTTAGCAATCGATTGTACGTATGGTTTCCATGAAAGGACAGTAGTAAATGATAATCCAAGAAGACATAAAGAAGAGGACTCAGGAAAAGGGTTACCATTCATCGATATATAGGAATGTCAATAATACTGCAATAGTTGTTTGTAGTAAGTAACTGAGTTTTGTTGGAATTAAAATTTACAAGCCACTGTAAGATGTCTGTTCTAAGCGAAGGAAAAGAGAGGATATTTTGGCAAGACACGAGTATTAAGTTGAGTCATCAGCAAAGAATGCTACTTTATATATAAGGTTGTCTGGAAGATCATTAATGTAGATAAGAAACAAAATAGGACCAAAGATAGAACCTTGAGAACCCAAGAATTTCCTGGAAATAAAGAGTGTTGACCTTCGAGAATGACTTTAATAAAGTTGTTAGAAAAAAACAATTTGATTATTACAAAAACATCACAAAATAAAATTATTCTCAACAATTTAATTATCTAAAACAATTTAATTATCTAAAAATAATTTATGTCTAAGCAACATATGATTGTTGTTTAGATATCTAAATTATAAATAAATTAATAAAGAATTCTAAGTGAACTATGATAGTACCATTTTCTTTTTAAAATTGAAATAAAAAGCATTCCTCTAAAATTGTATTTATTTTTCAGAAAGTTTTCTTTTCATAGTAAAAAATAAAATAAAAATGTATATTTTTTTAACTGAGTTTTTCTAATATCTTTTAAAATAAATGTTTGGCTCTGATTTGGGTTCAAGTATTTGTTTACCAGTACTGATTCCATGAAAAAATTTACCCGATTTAAAGTTGTATGGTTTTACATTTTCAAAACTTTAATAATTAGTTATTTATTTAGTTGATAATTAGGCATTGGTATTGGCCATTTACCATCCATCTGCATTGGCCAAAAAAGTGCTATCGGTACATAACTACTATACACAAGAAAAAAAACACTAGGCCACAAATGTGATCTGCTTTAAATTACACTCTCATATATAGAATTTACAACTAAATAATCTGAGCCCAGTAGGTGCTAGGCTTTTTATTAGCAGATTTTCTTTTAAAAAAATGAAAATGCATAAAGAATCATTTAAATCTAGTTAAAATCATTTTAAATAAAACTTTTAATGTTATTGTTAAAAGTTATGGAGCATTTTGTTAAGCAGGATGGGAACAAATGAGGATTTTGAGGCTGGGAACAAATAAGCCCCCAGATTTCTTTTCTTTTTACCCTCCCCCCTCCCTCCTCACCCCAAATGCAAGGGCAACAAGTTGATAAAATATTTTTTTTACTATTCTAAACTAGACTTGAATTCATTTAAAATTTTCAAATTTTCAATAAATTTTCAATAAATAATTTTTAAGTTTCATAGTATTATCTCTTAGCGTTCAAAAATTATGACCATATAAAATTTGTAACCCTCTCAAATTGAGGGGAGTTTAAACTTTGTATATTCATAATTTTTGAACGCTGAGAGATAATACTATGAAACTTAAAAATTATTTATTGAATATAAGTCTAGTTGAGAATAGTACAGAAAAAATTTTATCAACTTGTTACCCTCACATTTGTGGGGCGGGGTGGTGAGATAAAATTCTCTAGGCCTCAAACAAATTATGATCTTATGGAGAAAATGCTTTGCAACTACGTTACTAAGGTTTCCAGAATAAGGAAGAGTCAGGGAAAAGTCAAAGACTGATGTACTAACATATGATGTATGTACATAAAATAAGTAAAAATCACGAAAATGTCTTGACAACCCATGATCATACCTATCTGTGCAAATATAACCACTCCAGAAGAACAAATATGGCAAGATTTGATTTTCCTGATATCAATTACCTATATTTAGACATACAACATGTACCATCTAATTGAAAAACCATTACGATATTGCAGAACCACCCTTGGTTACCCCTAAAATGATCAACTGAGAGGTCATTACCACTCCTGAAGACCGAATATGCCTAGTTTCAAATTCCCTGACCACAATTACCTATATTTAGACACAGCATGTCCTATCTAATTGAAAAACATTGGGACATCTCAGGACCACCATTGACCAACATTAAAATGACCATTTGAGCGGTCATGACCATTTATAAAGACCAAATATGCCCAGATTTGAATTCTCTGACCACAGTTACCTATATTTAGATATACAGCATGTCCCATCTAATTTAAAAACCATCAAGATACCTTATGACCAATCTTGACAACCCCTAAAATAACCACTTGTATATTCATGACCACTCCAGAGCCCAAAAATAAAATCCTTGTCCCCAAAAACCTCTTAATTGAATTTAGTGTCAGTTAACAAGGTATAAAACTAAATTTAAAAAAATATAAAACTAAATATAAAAAATTTAAAAGTTAATTTAAGACTTATATTAAATTAACAGCTAATAATAGTAATAAAACTATATGTAAATCAGATGCAATATTTTTAATCCAATTGAATAAAAAATGACTCTTGTAGCCAAGAAAATGTTGAATCAACAAAATATCGATGATAGGTGCATCAGTCTGTATGATAACCACCAAAAAAGATAAGATTGACTAGCAATGTTGAACCCTTTGTAATTTTTTAGCTGTTAATTTAAAAAATGGTTTTATTTCTGGTTCAATTTTTAAAGAATAAATTGTTTTCGTCACATATTGCAGCCTGTACAGTGCCCTAGATTTGCAATTGGTGACATTAATCTGCAGCTAGTAAACAATCTGAGTTGATATTTAACCAGGACTGGTTAAATATCAACTCAGGTTGTTTATTAGCTGCAGGAGCCAGCTTTGATAAAAGAAAGCTGAATTGGAAACATGACCACATAAGTATTGATGCATGCAATAAATATTTTATCTTTAATAAAAAATTAGTACAAAATTTTAATTTCAAGATACAAGGATTGTTTTTTTCTGTTAAAAATTATGCTTCATATATTAATTCTTGAATTAAAACATGAAACTTTTTATTTCTTTTCCATTTTAAGCGAAGTCTCACTCTACCTAATGGTTTTCTTTTACTTATGCAGCTGTTACTTCTATTTATTTTTCAATTGTGGTCCAGACCACATTCCAGTTGCAGCCTAACAAAATTATTATGCAGAACTCTTTTCTAAAATATTCAACATGTTCTTAACTGATTATT